GAGCATTTGCTTTGTATCGAGTGAATGACAGTTTGTTGCCTATCGAATGTTTAAACTATTGTCCAAAGAATCATGAGCGCCAGAAAGAGAGATTTACGTTGTAACGACTGAAAAATCCCTTACTTTGACCGAACTTGAAATTATGTTACACTGTTGGATGACCGACGGTCCGTTGACTCTTAGTCACTGAAAGGACCTAGCTGATAAAGGTAGCCCAATATCAGAGTTCAAAAGATCTTACTCGTTCCTATCTTTACTAAAGGCCAATGGACATTTCAAACCCCCCAAAAAGTACGAATACATAAGCACCTTCGAAATCTGTACAATACATGGTCATTGTATTTTCTAATATACAAGCGTTCTGAAATATGTTACAAAAGATTAATCGGTGTATAACGTTCTCAATCCGGGTTACACCAACGCTATGCGAGCGAGTCCATCTATGTGCGAATTACAGTTTGGTCCAGCAAGTGGAATAGTAGCACGTCGGCGCAAGGATTGATCGGATGAAACGATTTTCTGAGTTACGGAGTTGTAAATAGTATAATAATCGAGTAAAATTACCGTCTTCCAGTTACTGACTCATCCATAATACCCTTTAATTACCCCCGTCTGCATAACCGCTTCTAATGTATCAATTATGCGAATAGCACCTTCGAAGACATTCCTCGACGACGAGTATTCCGTACTTCTTTCGCGTTTCTCCGCGTCTCTGTACGCCTCTCGACAATCGTCATTTTCGCGAGGACTATTCGCGCGGAGCGTTGATAGTCTGGCCGCCTCGCGAGGCATTATCGTCGGTACTCGGAGAAAATGAAGAAGGAACGGAATTGACTTGTCATTTCTCGTGCAATAAATCACAGGCTCGCGGTATGTTAATTTTCATCGATAAGCATTTTCACCGCGCGGCCGGCGTGAGTAATCGTTTTTTCCAGGATGCTCATTTTCGCGGGATCCCCAGGCGACCTCTGGCTAGCGGGCCACTGTCGCTTCATTTTTATCACGGTTCGCCTGAGCTGTATAAATATTTATGCCCATAGACAGGCATTACTCGCTTCCTAACGCATTAACGAGCACAATGCACCTACCGTGTGTTTCGTGGCCGCGTACAAGCAGGTGAACGAAGGCCGGCCGAGCGTGGTGTTTTTCTTGGTTTACTTTACGGTTCTTTGAATGTCGTTCTTCTTCCGTTTATTGTTGCGTTTCGTCCATACGCGTTGACCCGCTTAGCGCGCGCGTTTTTTAGTTACGCGCCGGGACTCGCGATGGTGCACGCGGATATTACGAACGACAGAGTCGTCGGAGACTCCTTTCACTGCAGTTTCCACTCGTCGAAAAGGGATTAAGGATGTTCTATTATTAGAGGATTCCGCGTTTATCCGTCGTGCACGGCAGTTCGCGTCGGCGCGGAATTTTGTGCCCCGAGTCATCGGGACAGGGACTGGAAACGTTATCGGGAAATCGCGAAATCCGTGATAATGACGTGATTCGAGTCATCGTATCATCACTGACGTAGATTTCCTTGCAGTATTACTACGCACGCGGGGAATCGTCATGACTCTGTTTTACACTAGGATTTCGAAGAAATCGTCAACTCGATATATCGATCCTTCGTCCCGATTTCCATCGATTTGCTACTCGCGTTGTAGCCAGGGGAACCGAGTTGTTTGCGGTTCGCGACGAGAATCTGTCTTGTCCGTTTCTCCGTAATCTTTATCGGAAATCGGACACTCTTCTAGGAATCGTGACTAAGTACGTAAGCCTGGATAATTTTTAATCCCTAGCAAAGACGATTATCCGTTCAGCTTCGTAGGGGTACCTTCGATTCGAATGCTCGTTTCACACGGGCAAATAATATCGAGCGAATTCCCCAACCACTCGTTCTTCCCGCACTCTCTCCTGTTTTACAAAATTCGCCGCGAGTTCCTTCCAGTTGTTTCACTTTCACCGATACGTCCGTCTTAGAAACGTATTTTATCCGCAAGGTACCGTGAACTTATTCAGCGCAGGCTGATCCCGCGATATCCGCACGGAACGAATTAAAAGGTCTTAAACACGTTGGCCTTGAGGTGCACGCGGCATTATGAACGGCGATTTTTCATTTCTGACAACATTATCGGGACAACAGCGCCGTCGTAGACGATCCGCGCAATCGCGGACAGAATCGCGACGACCCCGAGTAGACGGTCGTTCCGTGTCTCTGCCTTTTTGGCTTAATGTACAATCTTTTAAATATTCAGTTTATACGCTCGGTTTTACGTTCACTACCCCGTATCACGCTAGACGAGCGCACACGTGCATTCATTCCGTATGCATAGAGAAACAGTTACGCGGTTTTTGATCAGCAATCGGCAAATAATATCGAAGAGGTTCCTCTCCACTCTATGGTACCCTCTGTATATCGAATCCACCGTTTGTTCCTCTATTTAACACGTTGACGACCGATCACGGAAATTTTCGTGCTCAGTCGCCTGAACGTTGACGACTGGTCACGGAGATCTCCGATTTTCTACATCTATGTGCCTTATCGTGTTTATCTTTGCTTAAAATTACTGGTACGCGATCCTATTTGTTAATAAAAAAGGATAGGGATGAAATACCAGGTCGTCAACACGTTAAAGTTCATTCTACCTCCTAGGTGTGCATTCGGTATGGATGATTCTTGAAGAGCAGATCGTACGACAAAATTCAAACGTTTCGAAGCTCGAGTGAAAAGTATGCAAATTAATCGAGAAATTAATATTTAAAACGTAATTGTACGAAACACCAGGTTGTAAAAATAGAACGAAAATAAAGTGTATGAAGGAACAAATCTGCGTACATTTCTCCTTTCCCAAGAACCAGTTCCCCGAAGCAGCGACCACGCTCGCGCTGAAACGCTCGTCACATGGTTCACCGAGGTTTAATCGAATTATAATTCGCCAGTGCTGTCGCAGCGTTTCGTGTTCCCCGATAATTAACGCGCTTGGCTAGTCCCTTGGTACTTTGGTGGAATACGGCTGCCTGTAACGAAGCGTTGAGCGTTAACGAAGCGTTAAAGCGAGTCAGCTGCGTTGGCTCAACGCAACCAACGAACGGGCGGAATACAAAGCGTGTAATTACTAGGCGATCGTCCCTAATAACGGAATAACGCGCGCGACCGTTCCGTCCTTACGACGTGTCAGATGGAATCGTGGATTCCGGTGCGGGAATACGCGAGCGTACGATCGGTCGTCCGATCGCGGAAATCGTAATTCCCGACTGTAGTCGTGGTCGTTCGTCTCTCGTGGTTCTTTCCGCGATATTGGAGAGGCTCTGGCAGCTCGTATATCCCGTGGTCCGTGCAGCGTCTATAATCTACGCCGTGGCAGGCGATTCTTTTTTCGCGCGCTTGTGATGACACCCACGTGGTCTCCTAGAGTCGCTTCGCGCGATTCGCATAAAAGCCACCACCAATCTATATGGACGCAACCTTTCTCTTCTCGTGTGTGTTAATCAATCTGCTTCCTACGCTTTCAATTATGTAACACGGCATTACTCGCTGCCCGAGGAAATTCAAAAAGGACAATCTCGAGGCTGGGGCGTGCGCTCGAACCTCCTAACCTCTCTGACCGAGCCTCTTTGCGATGACTCTTGTTAGCGTTTCGCGCTTGGATAGTCGTTGGGAAATACTCTCGGGTTTTCTGCCGATCGATAGGGATCGATGGAAAAATCACCTCGATCCACCGAGCACGATTTTCCCGGTACCGGATCAGGATGGAAGAGATCGGGAAGACTCGATCGAGGAAATCACCGAGGATGACAGCACGGTATTCGAGAAGACACGCCTGATCGTTATCGCCGCGACGATCGTGTCGAAAAGGGAAGCGAGGAAGCCGGAGATCTTATCGACGGAATGCACGAAATTTTACGAATGCCACGCCTTTCGCATTTTTCCTCCTTTTTCTCTCGGATATAGCGATATTTCTTTCGGACGCGCGAAATAAAGCACAGCGAGAGGATCGTAACCGTGTATGCGTAGGTATGTTCGGACGATCGAGCGACGCGAAAATTTAACTTTTAAATAATCGGCCGAGATCGGTGCCGCTCCTTTTTACGCGCCGAGAGCGACGCATTTTGTTTGCTAGAAAGTGTGCGGCAGCAAGAAGAAAGAAAGTGTCGGAAGCAGGAAAAATAGCGCGATGTAGACCGAACGAATTTCATCGATCTCGAATCTACGAACGGTAACCGGGAGTCCTTTCCATTTTACGTCCGAGGTATCAACGGAGGAGTACTCCCGTCCGAATTTCGCAGCTCGATGCGGAGGATCGTATAATACGAAAGTTTCGGGGAGTATGCACGCGCGATCCGAAAGGCGAGGCGAGGCGAGGCGATGGAACGGGTAGAAAAATAGCGGAGACGCGGATGGGAAAGTTTATTCTTCGGAAGCTAATAAGCACCGGTGTCTAGACTGGAAAGCGCGGGTCCCTCGCGGTCGAGCGATGGCGCAGAGATGCCGCCTATGCACGGGCGTATCCACGAGGCCGCGTTCGCGCGAGGGGGAGACCGGACGGAGCGAAACAGCCTGCGAGAAGGCCGCAACGGGAGCGAGAGAACGGCGAACGGATCGCGAAAGCCGAAGCACGGTAGAGAGAGAAAGAGAAGGGTAAGAGGAGCGAGGGGATACAGTAAGAGAGAGAGAGGAAGCGCGGGGCATCCTCCGCGGTCGGTACGTCCGTGCACGCGTATACCTGTGCAACGTCCGTGTAGATCAGGTCGCGAATCCGCGGCGCGGCCGCGGCAGAAACGTAGAAAGCCGGGGCGCCGCCACTGGGCCGAGTGGCCGCCGCGACGCGCCGCGGCGCGCCGGTGGTTCGGCCCGGGCCGAGTCGAGTCGAGCGGAGTCGAGTCGAGTCGAGTCGAGTCGCAAGTCACCTCCGCTCACCTCACGGCGCGCTCGACTTCAGTCCGCGCTCGAGTCGTGCACCACGGAACACGCGAGAGTCAGCCGGGCCGGCTGCCGCGACCGAGTTGGACGCACGCGCCCGACCAGCTATCCACGGTGAAACGATAGACAGGAGGACCGCGCGTTTCCACCTGGATCGCGTTCACCGTCGATCGATCGACGGGAAGTCGGAACGGCGTAGATCGTTGAGTATCGCTGCGATTACGTCGAGGAACGCTCTATAGATATAAAGGACGATAATCGAAGAAATTCCGTGGAGGTTCGTCGGGAGCGGGTTCTTCCCCATGGAGGGACTGGAGGCGGGAGTGGTGGCGTGAATCTCGTGACAACCGGCTAAATCGACGCACAACGCGCTGGAAATCACCGACGCTGTTGTATTATGTCACACTCCCACGCGAGCGACGGCCGCCGCTGCCGGCGCGACGGTGAACCGAGCCAACGTCGTCGTCGTTTGACATTTCCACGAGCGTGGAGCGGTTAACGCGAACCCGGTGTTCGTGTCGCCGTTCGTGCCGTCGTTGGTGCACGCATCGGTGCCCAGTCAGTGTTATGCTACGTCGCGATCACCTCTTCATCCTCGTCGTCGTCGTCTTCGTCGTCTTGGTCCTGGTCGTCTTCGTGATCGTGATCGACGTGTGACGAGCCTCGGTCTCGCACGATCCTGCGCTGCCATAGCGTGCTATCCAACGAGACTGGCCATCCGGTCTCAGTGACTAACCTGGTGCCCCGCGATTAGAAGATTCGCCTGGTGTTTCGCACACGGCCGTACACGCGTATGCGCGTTGGTACGTAGCAGCGCGTGACACGCGTGGCTGTCGATCGTGTAAGCGGCGGCCGATCGAGTCGTGGAATCGTGAAAGAGATCGTGGATGCCGGTTGGTGATCTTCTCTGCTCGGCCCGAGTCAGTGTGGGATTGGTCCAGGCACCTGTGAGAAATCGCAAGAATCCGACCTAGATCGAGGGGATCGTGTCTCGAGGGAGGACCGAGGAGGCTCTAAGGTAACGCGATCCGGAAGAACCGATGCAAGTTTGCCGCGCGTTTCGGCCGAGCGACGGAAATCCGATTGGACGCTGGAGGGAAGAGACACACGGCGGGGTCACGCGATGCCGCGTCGTATCGATGGCCGGAGGAACGAACGGTGTCCGTCTAAATTTCGATTTTTAGCGGCCGCGGCCGCGGGTTGGTCGTGACTGCGGGCTATGAAATCGGTAATGAGCTGTAAATCTCGGAGGCGAGTTGTGCACGTTAACGCGGCCGCGCGTGTGAGTCACACACGGCGAGGGCAGCGGGACGATACCGTCGATACATAGGCCAGCATCCGAGGCGAGTATTCTTTTTCCTTACGGTAGGAAATCGAAGGAAAGGATAATAAGCGAGAAATACACTCTCTCTTAGCCGGCGGCCGGTTTCGTCGTTGCGCCGCGCGTGGGTGTACGAGAGGGACGGAGACAGGGCTAGAGAGGGAGGCAGAGGGAACGAGGCAGCGCGCGCGCTGCGAGTCGATTTTTCGAAAATCCACCGTGAAACCTTCGTTAACGGCGATCCGAGAGTCGATAACCGAGTTCGTGCGCCGATCGATCGGCCAGCCGATACCCGGCCGATTTCGATCGGGGCTTCGTGTGTCGAAAATCGAAACGCCAACCAGCCGTTCGGCAAGGTCTCTTTGCTCGTGTTTAGGTCACCTCCTACCGCTCCTTTCCTTTCTTCTTTTCTTTCCTTTCTTCCTTTTTCCATCCGCGTACGTCCACGGTACAGGATCCTCGTTGCGTAAGCGAGACTAGGCTCGATATAGGTTAGGTGTCGCCAAGATTTCGACTGTCGCCTCGCATGTCCATGGTCTCCATCTACGATGCGAGTATACCGTGGTCTAGTTGCGCGAATCCGATCTTGCCCTCGCGTGGGTGTCGCTTATTAGAGTTAGGCGGTATATGGGTGTTTTATAACGCGCTGGCTCGATTCCAGGGGAAAATTAACGTGGATGGTAATAACGCAACAGGCGCGTACAGGGTTTGTCTCTTGCTCGATCTTTGTTCCGAGTTACGGGCGTACTCGTGCTTCGATAATTGAATCCAGGCAAGTAAATCCAACGACTGCAACTAACTTTGCTCGCCTGGCTCGTTATCCGCGCGAACCGCGAAACAGCGTTCGCCAATTTTTTCGCGTATCCACGGTCCAACGAGAGGGAGACGGTCGGTCTAGGTACTTTTTGCGGAATAAATTTCGTTAGGAACGTTACGATCACTCGATCCGCTAGAGGGACGAATTCATTCGCTAACAAAGTCCAGCTTTCGCTGCACCCTTTTTCGCTCTTCGACTTAACGACTTCTAGGTAACCTATCCCTGAAATTACGTTTACGCGTTATGAAACATCACACGTAGCGTTCTACGATCTTCACAAGTACTATCGTGATCTACCAAGGCTGAAAGGAGTGTGCTCACTCCTGGAGTTTGTTATTACTGCTTCATTTTCAGCTCAATGCCGAATCGAACAATCTCCTCGTGGCATCGGAGTCTAGTCATCGAATCTGAGCTATCTAACACCGGTTCCCAATATTTTCTTCCTTTCCGACGAATTTAAATACGTTGCCTCTAACTGTGCCCACTACTCGACGGCTCTGATCAGGCTCTGATCCTAGCTAAATTATTCGATTCCTCTCATCAACTTCGATTCTCTAAATCCAAGATTAAGGATGTTAAGAATTTGTCCATGAACTAGAAGACTTAAATAGACTGACTCTCAGTTGAAAATTCATTCTCATGGAGATTAACAAGGAGAGTGCGAGTCCTTTGAGTGATAGATGTAGTTGGAACTTTGCTGGTTTGTGGATTTAGTCATCCAGTTCAAGAAAATATATTATAAGGGCAACTACTCGATAGTTTTCGAGATATTTATGAGTAAAGTATTATTATTGCCTTAATTACAAATTTATTTCGAATATTTATCAAGTGCCGTCAAGACCAATGCTGGTTTGTGGATGTTGCCGTTAGGCCACAATCCCACTTGACAAGTATCGATAATTATTCGGAAGAAATGTCTAGTTAAGGATAATAAAGCTTCAACCCTTTGCACTCGAGAGACGAGCCTCAGTCGCCATTTAACCAAATTCCGAAGATCCATGTTAATTAATACCTTACATTCGAAATAACGCAACGACAAAATAATTCTACGCCTTAATTCGTATACGACTGTACTACCTATACTGTTTTAAAAATATCCTCGACTTTATGGTCTTCGAATTGTTATTTCTTTGAAAGGATTAATCATAAATATCCCGAAACCTGTCGAGTTATCTCGAATTGGATAATTAAATCTACAGACCTGCAAAGTGTCAACTAAATCAATGACCCAAAAGACTCGCACTCTGCTTGCAAGCCACAACGCTCGGATCGATGTTCCTGCAGTTTTGCACGCAGCTATTTGCAAACCGTAACAAAGGATCACGCATGTTCCGCGTATGTCTTCCTCGTCACATGCAAAAGCGCTAAATATCCCCATTACCGGGGCAATTTCACGCTCGACACAACCTCGAACGATAACGACCTAGGATCTCCTCGATGCACGAGATTCGCATCATTAACCAAGAATTGATAAACTGACAATGGACATTTCCGCAAAGGTACATCTGCCGATCTCCCACGTTCGTTGGCACGATGGTGGTAGAAGGTGGCCGCGTTCCTTCGAATTTTTTCCCGGTGCATAATAAACCGAGGCTTGCGCCATCGGGACGTGCCCCCGTCGTATGAAATCGAACGACCTCGTCGTTGTCCGACGTCGTAACAGTCTAGCCGATAATACGGCGATTCGAGAGGCCAGGTCGGATTCGATGGTCTACCAGCGGCGGAGGTAAACGTGTCTAACTAGCAGCATTGAGCGTGTCCGTCGCGCGATCCAGAGGTGCACAGTCAATAGCCCGATAACGAGGATCGTTGCTACGAGTTGGCAGAATTCGCCACATTTCGCGCCGGTCTTTCCGACGATTTTTAAACTGCGACTCTGGAGTTTCGAAGTAAGTGGAGTTTGGATCGAACGATAGTGGTATAGTGTACGACAGGTTGGGGTGTGGTGAGGATCGCGGTGTAATCGTTAGATTTGGTAAAACGAGTTTGAAAATTCACCTGGATCGCAGAGTAATTAGGATTGACAGTGGTTAGGCTGTCATGGTTACGAAGAACTCTTATAACCGTGGTACAGAGCGAGGTTCCTTTGGAAATTCTTCTGGAAATTGGTAGAATCTGGCGTAACGAATAATTCCAGTGACAGTGTTTGGACTGTCACGATTACGAAGATCTTGGTGTAACCGTGGTATAGAGCGAGGTTCTTTTGAAAATTCTTCTGGAAATTGGTAGTGTTTGACATAACGAATAATTCCACGAAGATGTACATTATAGATTATAAATTAAATTTGCTCGTAATTGGGATTGACAGTGGTTAGGCTGTCATGGTTACGAAGAACTAGCGCAACAATGGTACAGAGCGGGTTTCCTTTGTAAATTCTTCTGGAAATTGGTAGTATTTGACATAACCTCATAAATCATAAATTAAATTTGCTCCTTGAATCCGCCTAGAGATAATATTCGCATTCTCGCTCTGTTTTTTCCAAGCAACGCTTCCAGGTTCGCCCAAATTATTCATAATATGGTCATCCGTTGAATAATTCATATGCTATCGGTTATCTCGAAAAATCGATGGATATATTTCAAGCTTCGATATTAGAATCCATCCGTGGATGGATTAATTCGAAATCTTGCGTATCTCTCGAGGCAAACTCGCGGCAGCCTTCATCGATCGGCAAGTAGGAAATTTGAATTTTGAAAGGAGCGGAGCGAGCTTCCTGTCTCGATATCTCGATTTTAGCCGTGGAGTCTAGCAGGACGTTTGCTCGGTCTAGACGAGACGAGCATAAACTGAGAATCTAAAGTGCGCACGGGCGCTACGTGCACAGAGGACACACGTATGCACACGCGTTGCAAACGAACGAAGGTCTCAATCGTGGCAAGGCATAACGCAATAATAATCATAATGCCAGATCGATACGCGATATTCGTTGCATCGCACGGTGTATGTCATTACAAGGATGGAGGCACGAAAGCACACGGAATGCCGCGGAGTCGCGTAACGATGTCACGCTGAAAAATCCGCTTAAATTATCGGTTTCTTCGCCGCGAGAGCGGCTTGTCCCTTTTTCCTCGCGTGCCTGCCTTTTTTTTCTCTCCCCCTCTCTCTCTTTCTCTCTCTCTCTTTCTCTCCCTCTCTTCCCGATCCTCTCGTCCTCCTCCGTTTCCCTCGTTCTTTCCCTTCCACGTTTCTGCGCGATTTTCATGCCGATATGCATCTCTCGTTGGCCGATCGCCGCGGTGACTCGCGAAGAAAGTAAATAATATGCAAGAGCCGCGTAATGAGCGTACAATTACCGCGCGAGATTGTTCGATATACGGCCTGTAAAATCTGGAAATTGTAAATCAACGTAGCGAACCGGCGACTTTCTAACGTTGCCTCGAGGAGCCACGTTCACCCCGTGTGCTCGTGCACGCCGTTTCGACGTTTTTGGAAATTCGATCGGTGATAATTGGCCATCGGCCGAGCCGGGTACACCGGTGCGTCCGCGAGCCGGCACGAAAAACTGGCTTTTCGAGGAAAATCCAACGTACTCGCACGTGTGTCGAGCCCGTTTAATGGCGCACGGAAAGGTCTAAGTTCAAGCCTCGCTACTTGCCATCGTCGAGCGAATACCATCCGATGACTCTCGAATTACGCGACGAGCCACGGAGAACAGGGGAACGAAAACGCCACCGTTCCTCCGCCACGCGCCATTTAAATATCAATTTTTCGATTAACACCTTCGCTGCCACGGTGGTCACGATGACCGGCGCTCGCCTCAATGGTACCACGGTGGTCACCAGTGTCCGACTAATTACTAATTTTTTAAATTTATATTTCTCTTATCCTAACCATCTTTTGACAATTTGAACGACTTAAATAAATAGGGAGCTTCGAACAGAAGACACTAACAATTTGCATTATTCTTTTTCACATATTATTTGATAATTCGACATTATATCCTAAGAGTAATGGAAATTTTATAGTGATCTCCTGAGCGTACTACATAAAAATTGCGTGGCAGTCAATTTTTCGATTAACGCACCGTGGTTAACACATTCACTGCCATGGTGGTCACAATGATTGTCCCTTGCCTCCTCAATGGTGCCACGGTGGTCACCAATATTCAACGATACTAATTTTCTAAATTTATGCTTCTTTTATCCCAACCATCTTATGAAAATTTGAACAACGTTGAACAAATAAATAGGGAGCTTCGAACAGAAGACACTAACAATTTGCATTATTCTTTTTCCCATATTATTTGATAATTCGACATTATATCCTAAGAGTAATGGAAATTTTATAGTGATCTCCTAAGCGTACAACGTAAAAATTGCGTGGCAGTCAAAGTGTTAACCTAGAACCGCGGTGATTTACGACGTGACGATCGACGCGCGAGATCGACGTTACTCCAGCTTCATCGAATTCGTCAACGTCCACGCGAGATTTATCAGTCATACACGGGCCCTAACGTTCGCGGGTCGTTTAACGATCCGCCATCGGCGGAATACCTGGAAATATTCGACACGTGGTTAATCCGCCGGTGTATCGGTAAGAACGTCGAAACGTCGTTTAACGATGGATGATAGAGAGACGGGCAAACGGACGGGCGTCGTCGACATCGTTTTCTAAAATTGCCGATGTATCGGGATAAGCACGCGGGTTTCTCGTTCGTAATCGAGCAACGCGGGTATCTGGTTTCATAGTTTTTAGGTGCTAAAACGTATGCAAGCCTGGGACGGTTAATTGCATCTTAAAGAAAGAGAAACGCAACGTTTTACTGTCCACTCGTTCAGATAACTCGTTGGTAATTTATTGGCGATTGGCTGCTTTACGATATATATATACACACACACACTTGTCATTGCGCGTGTGTTTATATATATATTTATACGTGTACATATATATATACACACGTATATCGCAGTCCCCGGCGTGATTAACACCCAATCGCTTAAGCCACGAAGGAAACGGCGCTCGCCAGCCCAACCCAGTAGTCGAGGATTAATTTCTGGAGGAAATTATAAGTTTAAATCGGCGCACGGTTACGCGTGGTGCCTTATAAGCGGAGCGCCGAAAATTATTGGCGGTCTGTTTCTACGATAATTGGGTCGTTCGTCAGCCACGGACAATAAGGAAATAAATAATTATTCGAATATAGCGGGAAAGCGCGTATCTCACGTGAGCCGATCGCGTTTGTCATTGGTGATCGATCACGGGGCAGGAATGTAGGAAGACAGGCGAGCCAGGATCGCTTAATCGAATCGATCTCGCTGACGGCGAAAGAAGTCCGTTTCTTGCCGGTAAACAAATATTTCGTTACCTCCATTCTGTCCCCTTACTTTTTCCTCTACAGCCTGATCCAGTTCTTTTCCATTGTCCGTTTAAACGAGGAACAAATTCGACGTAAACACGCGACTATCGCTATCTCGCGTTGCTAAGATCGGTGGCCATTTTGAGACGGAGTATTAGTCGCGTTTAAGAACCTCGCACGCCATTAAGGTTAGTATTAATTCAACGATCAACGAGCAACAATGACGACGAGTATTTTCGTTTGTTATAATTGATTTCTCTAACTTCTGCATTCTGTAATTTCATTCGATGAATTGTTTTCATTTCATCTAACAAAAGAATGGCTTTCTCTAGAGCATTTCGAAATCGCTTCTCTCGAGATTACATCAATTTTATGAAATAGTAAAACAATTGATTGGAAGACTTTCGAGAAATTCATATGCTCCTAACGAAATTCTTACACATTTGAGAATAAGCACAAGTTCAGATCAGTGGTTGTAAAAGTATCGAACAATGGATTGTATACTTTTAAGTGTTACAGTGCTACCAATTTGATCAACTACCAATTCTTCCTTTCTACTCCACCCAGTTTGACCCATCGCTACAATCCAAATCAAACCAATAACTTCACGTTCAGGAATACCACTATTCCGTTTCCCTTCGCTATTTGTTTGAGGTTGAGTATAACGTAGCTACTAAATATTAAAAACCGCGTGTTTACACGAATATTTTTACAACAAGGTGCACACGGGAAATTAAGGATTAAAAATGACGCGTATGTGGATTTGAAAGAGTCGGAAATAAGAAATATATATACGTAACGACGCGTGTGTAGGTGTGTAAGTACGTGAACGTGTACCGCGAAATGGAGGCACGGAAGAACGTGATCGCGTTAAATATCGTGAGGAAGAAATTGGATCGATCGATGGGTCCCTCGAGGCCTTGTTATTCTCTTTCCTATATTGGATTAGGTGCAACTCGACGATACCTCTGATTTGATGGACCATAATATCGATAGCGATTATAGCTGTTCAGCTGATTTGCCGCACGGTAGTGATTAACGCTCCGATCGTTGTTTCGCGAATGGAAGCCGATCGATATCGAAGCCACCGATACCGATGATTACCTCGTATCGCGTTTTGAACCCGTCCATTAGTCGAACCTTATTACCAACTCATCGCCGCTGAAATTAACCAGACACTTTCATTAACCCGCTCTTTAAACCGTGATCAGTTTCGAATATTACATAATGAACGTCGGAAACTCGACGTATCACGATTCTATCGTTACCTCGCCGGCTTCTATCAACCTTGCCACTTTTTCCACCGGGACTTAACCGGTCGCGACGGAATTCGTGACGCTAACAGTACGTTACGTTTTGTTACCAGCCATCCCCGTGTACCGGGACAGGACCAAGAGAGGAGGACCGCAGGGGCAGGCAGTCTCCCCGCTCGGTCCGTCGTCGAGATCTTCTGGGAATGTTCGAGTGCGACGTTCGATGTTTCGTGGATGGAGAACGTAGTAGGATAATCACGCGAGTGCGTTTCGTTGCGGTTCACGTTGCCACGATTCGTTCGTAACTAACGAGACGAGGAAGTGAATGGTTCTTACGGTAACAAAGAAGAGGACCAAGAAGAGGACAGTGTCACAACGCGTGTGAAATGGATGGTACGCCAAAGAAAATCGAAGCAGTGTTAATATATGGATGCCCATGGGTGGAATTTGGCCGAAATGTGCCAGCGTTACCATCACGCTGTACCGGCAGCCCAAAATTCTTCGCCAGCTAGGGATCCCTCGGCCGCCATCGTGCAAGGCTTGTCAACGGCTGCGCACATCGACCAGGCTAGCCCTTCTTATTCCCATTACACGTGAGTATTCCAATCTAAATATCCTCTAACTTTGCTCGTAAAATAGCCGAGATGAATTACGAATACGAACGTAGTATACTCGTAGCGAGGGAGTTAGGAGTTTCGATGAATCAGTTGTCTTAATCGCGAGCGCGCGTGTATGTGTATGTGGTGGGCTGATTGCAATTAAGTCCAAAGATTTTGATAACGTTCGAGTTGATCGATACTGGTGGATTACCCCCAGAGATTCTAGCTGCATTCTTTCGAGGTACATTGTTCTTCGCGGGTATTAAATCGGAACCATTCAAGTACCTATTAGGATTGAAAGAAAAGCTCGCTAGGGGGCGAAAATCGCTATAATTCGTAGCCAATTCCCTAGCTAGTCGAGAGAGTCGTAATTTACGGAAGACAAAATTTGTTTACCTCGTTCAGAATTAAATCCACGAATTAAGATAACGGAAACTGATAGCAACGCGTGATACGTGTATACGCGAGTGGACCCCCAAAGAGGTATATACCTAGCAGACGAATCGAAAAGGGGAATAAAGGAAGATAAAGACAAAAGGATATTCCGTAGCCATAGAACGGGAAAAATCAATCAATCGACAGGAGGAGCGTAATTTTTCGCCCCTTGATTGATCCGAAATTGCAACAGCTTGCACGAGGTTAGGGGGTCTGGGGAAAAAATGGCGGCGTTTCGGCGTTTTCGCACGTGCCCCGACCGTGTAGTCATCTTATCGCAGCCACGGGACGTTCTCAATTGTATTATATATATTAATAACGATACAGCGAATTAGGGATAAGTATACGATTCCGCGGTCAGGCCTCGGTAATCCTGTTATTAGCGCGGCGATTAGGGGAAGATGATCCTCAGGCAAATTGCAGGGGCGTATACCGCGGTGTTTGGTTAACGTAATCGCCAATCACTATCGTTGATCCTCTCCCGCGAAGGACAGAGAGGAAAGCAGCGAGAAAGCAAGGGGAAAGAGCGAGCCAGAGAGAGAGAGAGAAAGAAAGGATCGACGAGAGGAGCAGGGTCGATGCGTCGGCCGGGACGAACCCCTCGGGACCCCACGGCATTTCCCTTCTTCGAGAATTTTCTCGTTTACGTAGAGCCTCGAAGCCAGAGCCAGCGAGATCTCGCTCGTGTCCCGCAGACATTCGTGCCGAGAGTCGATTAAATTGCAGTTTACGCTCGGATTCAATATTTCACTGTTATTACGTGGAATTGGCGTAACCAAACGGCAGAAAAGACTCTTCTTTAAACAGTTCCAGATTATTAGGTTGACCATGTTCCAGGAATTTTCTATTCCGTTCCGGGATACCATGGGTTGTTTATGGAGACTGGTAGTTGAACCCCTTGGTATTTTATCGTTGTCGCATCGGTTCCGTTTTCCTGCGATTCCTCATCCATGTTTCTAGTGACAGGATCACTCTGCGGAGGTTAGGAGCTTTTGAGGATTCGAACAGAGAGATTGTCAGAGTCGAAGATTCCGAGTGGCCTGCCCTTTCGGGAACGATGTTTTAACGCGAGTGTGGTGGTTATCGATGCCGATGTTACGGTGTCACTTCGCGTTGATGAAGGTATCCGAAGTGCTTGAGAGACTGCGAGACATTTAGGCCTGCAAGCTTCAGAGCTAGAAGGCTTACAGGCACGAAACGTATCAAGAAGTCTCGACTTTGGTGATTGTAATTCTTCCTTTGACAGTGGTTCGTTGTGATCTCATAGAAATTATTTGCTCATCTCGATGTTTCTTTTGCGTTGACACCATTGACACCAATGACAGTAGGTTCTTTCTTCTATTAAGTTCGTTGAGGCACTAGCTCTTGCGCGACTTGCGTGTTACTTTTTAGACAAAGTACCAACGCAGTGTATACTTTGCTAATCTCATGCAGTATTAAAACTATCAAACAAACGTTATTCCATAATTACAAAATTTCTAGATCCTGACCACGATTAACTTCCTCTTCCTCGCGGCATGGTGTCTGCTACGGTCTTAGTTCTTCCACGAAATCGCGTGTTACTTTTTAATCCAGAGTAACACGGCACTGGCATGATACTACTAGTTTTCAATCGTTCTGAGCAATAAAATTGCCAAACAAATGTCATTTTTCAGTTATCATAGACATATTACCTAGACACTGTCAAGGTATCTCGTGTGATGTTAGCTCTTTCTCGATATTGCACGGTATTTTTCAATTTAAAATGGAGTCTCCGTAATTTCCAGTCCCTGATCCCATTTGACATCGAAACTTTTCAAGTCCATTTTAAGATTGACAGTTTCTAGACTTCGTGAGTTCCCGTTGACTCTCCTGTTGGACAAACGTGCTCGTTTCGATGGAAGAAATCGAGTGGGTAGAACGGGAGAGGAAAATAAAACGGTTCGGAGATGGAGTTTTCAACTACGGCGTTTCCTGGCGACGAAAATCATCTTCATTAAAATTGTTCCGGTCGGTTCCATCCGTTGCTCGCGCGGCCGTCGCATGGATCGCGAACCATGTCACGATATTCAGTCACATGTCCCGGCGAGTAACTCTCGTAGCCTAGATACAAAGTGTCAAGGAGTGATGTATATTTTCATCGTGTCGCTCTTCCACACTCCACGCGTCTCGCCGAGCACCCACGGCCTCTGCTCGAAATCTCGATTCTTGCGCGATTCTTGCACGATCGATGAGAAGCAAATTGGCTCGACCAGTTGGAACGTTCTTTGTTCTGCTATTTATACATTTGCGTTTGCAGCCACGGGGTGTATTGCGATACTTGTAGCGATTCTCAGGTGAAACAGTATCGTTTTCCTCTTCTGATGACTGTGAGACTTGGGTGCTTTGGTCATTTCAGCGACGTCCCTTCTGTTATGCATTTCGCAGGGTATTTTCATTCCATATCGAAGTGTCTGACATTGATTCGATTTAGAATTCGGATATTTATCGTTTTATTTGTTTATTTATTTATTTTCATCGACGAGTGTCGTGTCACGATAGTCTTAGAGCCTGTTGCGCAATGTCGTGTTTGGTTTGATACGAGATAAAGGATCCAGAGGAGGATCAAGGTGTCGATGCGGCGTGTGTTGACTACTTTGCAATTACAGGTCGAATAAAAGAAAGTTACGTAATATTTTCAAAGCAATATACGGAAGTACGGAATATCTAGCTGATGGCTGAGTTAGAGAATTAAACGTCTCGACCAATTTCGATAATTTCCTATTTAATTACCGTGTATTCCGTACCAGTTTTAGTTACTGACGATTTTACTATCCCGTACGAAAATTAAATGTCAAATAAGAAATATGCAGCTAGGAGATATTCGGGGAATATCGGAATAATATTTCATATTCCCACTAAACTTCTACCAAAGTTCTCGCATCTAGCCTAGAACGATATTTCACATTTCCACTAAACTTCTGTCGAATCTCGCTTCTCTCCGGACAATATTCAAATTCGTCGTACAGAATCGTATTTCATATTCCTACTTAGCTCCTACAGGATCCTCTCCCGACTCCTAAAAATACACCAATTCATCGTATGGTTTAAGATTTCGTGTTCCTACTAAACACTGCCTATTAAAATCTTGCCTTTAACCTAGAGAGGACTCGAATTCTTTGTATAAAATAATATTTCCACTTCTTACCTAATTACTGTAAATAAAATCCTGTCTCTACTTTACGTATAGGTACTCCAATCTATCGTATAGAATAGGATCTCGTATTCCCACAAAATTTATTTCGAGTCTAGAAAATATTTATATTCATTACATAGAATAGAAGAAGATTTCATAGTGCTACCAAATTTCTATAAAATTTATCTCGAGGCCAGGAAATATTTTAATTATATAGAAGAAGATTTCACGGTGCTACCAAATTTCTATACAATTTATCTCGAGGCCAGGAAATATTTTAATTATATAGGAGAAGATTTCACAGTGCTACGAAATTTCTTCCCAATCTAGCCTCTACTACAAAAATTTAATTTCAGGAAATTTTCTCATAGAGAATATTAAATACACTTCCTATTTTCACTAAATTTCCACTGAATCCTCGATTTTACTCTTATTTACCACCCCTCCTCTAAAGGAAATTCTGCAATGGCACGGTTAAATTGCACGTTTCTCTGCGTTTAACGGGCGATTTTGCCGGAACTATCGGAGAGTAAAAATGGGAGAGATCGGCTGGCGACTCGAAGAGTAGCGCGCAGGTGGAAAAACGGCGACGTTTGCATCGATCCTCGAAGGTCGACAACCCGTGGTCGAAGCAACGAGGCCGATTCGCAAACATCAATTATATCGACGAAACGTCAATAATTCCGTGAACGATAAGCTACGCGATGCGTGTCGGTTTTTCTCGGTAGAGGCGTCGCGTCGGGATTCATGAAGCTCCTTGCTGCGTCGCGACGAACAATACCCGGACTTCCCCCGAATTTCGAACGGCTTTCGATCGATCGGCACGAACGCGAAATAATAAACGGGAGCCGGCACGATGACACGCCATGGACTATCCCTCATGCGTCAGGATGTCCCCGTGATTTCTGCGCTCGCGATGACTCAGATCAATGACTTGACGACCAGCCACGGCTACGTATTAATTACGGATAGAAATCAATTACGGTAATTTCGAGGGAATCGCCTCCTTTCAGCGGCGCGCCGCGTTCCTTGAGCGACGTTTCCGTGAATCGCGATTCCGTAGCTCCTCGATTATTTCGTTCCTCTTGTATTTTAATTATAGAAACGTTCAGCCTCTTTGGCTCTTGATTCTATCAGGTCCTTGGGTTTTTCTTGGAAATATTTTATTCCTCGCTCCTATTTGCTCTTCTTCCGGATCTTTTCGGTTCCTTTAAAGAAAAGTTATACGGGAATTAGGTGATTTCATTACGTGTTTACTTCTTGCTGAATTTTGAAGAATTTTATTTCGATTAGAATTTGATCCTGTCATCGTGAAAGACGTAGCTACGTGATCTTGAAATTAAAGGAATTTTTTATTCGAATTATTCATCTATTTTCGCGTGATATGAAGTCATTTTTCCTACTA